GAGAGGGAACACAAGCAGGGGGAGTGGGAGAGGGAGAAGCAGGCTTCCTGCTGAGCAGGGAGCCTGATGTGGGGCTCTATCCCAGGACCCTGGGATCATGACCTGAGCCTAAGGCAGACGCTTAACCGACTGAGCCACCCAGGCACCCCTGAACCTTTTTTCTTAAAGGTCACCGGAGACCTGCTGAATACTAAATCCAGTAGTTTTCTGTTGATTTGTACAACTATTTGCGATACTTAGTGTTGAACAGTTATCTTTTACATTCTCTTTTTTCTTGGCTTCTGCCTTATCTTGATTGTCCTTGCCATTTATTGTTTTTGAATCTACCCTCCTGATTATTTTTCCTCAGTGTCTCTTACGTTACCTACATCCCTCCATATGTCACTTCTGAATTGTAACCATTTATATTAATCAGTAGTGGGTTCAGTGGCATTAGGGAATGCATCCCCCATGCCCATAATCAAGAATATGTTAAATATACTTTGGAAAGATTTATTCATATATTCCAAAGTTTACAAATATGTCAGAATGTGTAATGTTTGAGAGAGCTAAAAATATGTTACTGGGACTGGATTTGGGCCTTTTTCTTCTCTTTTTTTCACAATGTTTTTTTCCTTAGGCTTTCTTCAACTCCTAGTTTCACCTACCGTGTATTTATGATTTATATCCCTCCTGACTCCAAAAACAACTCAACTGCATACTGAACTTGAGGATGAGTATGAGTAGTACATCAAACACACTATGTCAAAAACTAAATTCCTTTTTCTCCTTTCCTCTTCTTTTCTGCCAAAAATGTTTTCCTCTTCCTTTATTGGTTAATGGTTAATGAGAACCATTATTCTCAACCATATAAACTTGAAATCTTAGAGTCATTCTTGAATGCACTCTTCATTCATGGTTATTTCTCACTCCCAAAGTGTTTTTTTTTTTTGTTTTTTTTTTACCATCTGTTCTGTACCTTTCTATTACTAACTTCTCACCTCAGTTATTGATTTTTGGTTCTACAGCCAGACATAACCTGAAATGCATTCAGATCCTACCATTCACTACCTCAAAAACCTGCAAAGACTTCACATTGCCGGAAGAGGACAGTCCAGACTAACTTACATAGAATTTAAGCCTTTCATGATCTGTACGTTTTTGGCTGTTTGTTCTTCTGCCACCTCCATTCTCCAGACATACTACATTCTAACCAGGGGTGGGATAGAGGTGGCTGTATTTTTTTTACACCTTATGCTTTTCATGAGATTACTTCAGTTTATAAGGCCAGCCACCAAGTCTCTGCTTATTGAAATTCTTTTCATAGTCACAGTCAAATGCCACTTCTTCAGTGAAGACATTCTCAAAGACACTAGTTGAAATTAATTCCTCCTTCCTCTGTATGCCCACATCATATTACTTTACCCCTGGTATTCATTTCATCCTGCATTGTATTACAGTTAGTAGATAACATAACAATATTTCTCCTGCCTGTTGAAAGTCCTTTTTTTTTTCAAGATTTTATTTATTTATTTGACAGAGACAAAGCGAGAGAAGGAACATAAGCAGGGGGAGTGGGAGAGGGAGAAGCAGGCAGCCTGATGCGGGAATTGATCCCAGGACCCTGGGATCATGACCTGAGCTGAAGGCAGACACTTAACGACAGCCACTCAGGTGCCCCTCTTGAAAGTTCTTTAAAGATAGGAAGTGTGGCTTATGTTTCTTACCTCAGCATTTTCTACAGAGTAAAAACTTTTTTTTGTAGAATTATATTGAATAATTAGATAAAACTTTAAAGGTGTGAAGTTACACAGCGGAGTTTGTTCCCCAACTTTTTGCCTTCTGAGGCACGCTTGTCATTTTATAGGCAGAATTGCAGCAGTATTCCCCATCTAGGCACTGGGCACGATGCTACAGGAAATAAAAGTGGCGTATCTGTGACGTGATCAAATAAAAATAGAACTGGAATTCAGATTGTTAACACATAATCTTCTGACTTTTAAAATTTCCTTTCAGAGAGACACATCTCAATCCAAAGGCAGCTTGCTGATCTAGAGAAGTTAGCCTTCGTAGCTGAAGATTTTGACTCTGCCAGTTCATTGAACTCAGATAATCTTGATGCAGGTATTTCCATATTTTTAAGGGTTTTTTTTCCCCCTTAATTTCTATTGGCTTTTTATCTTTCAACTCATGAAAATTTGCTGAGAGTAGACTTGTTTATTGCCACTGAACTAGAGCAATGATAAAACTTTTTCATTCAGGAAATTGGTAGCCTTCTACATTCACAGGTGCCGTGGGGACAAATTGTTTCACAGTTCCTCAAGGAAATTACAATTTCATGGATATATAAGGACTGTGTCTTCTATAAGTTAGGAATTGCATTTAGCTATAAGTAACAGAAATCCAAAAAACAGTGCCTTTAATAACAAGAGGCTTATATTCGGTCATGTAAACGAAGTCCCCAGGTGGGCAATTTAAGGCTGGAACAAGAGTTCCTCATTGTTGTCAAGCTCCTCCAGCTCCTCTCTTACTGTCTTGCCATCCTTAGTGCTTGAATTCCATCCTCAGTATCACTTCATGGTTTTTTGAAGTAAGCAGAGTATATTGAAAAATTAATTTTGACTCTACTTGCAGTGTGCTATATGTTAAAGATATTTGTTGGATTAAAAATTAAGCGAGTTGCTCATTATTTTTGTATATTTTTATCGTTTTAAACCTGAATTTGAGATTTTAATTTTTTTGTTACTGTCAAAGTTTTTATTTGAGATATATTACATTCCTGATTAAATAAGACTTCTATTTTTACAATCCATAATCTTTTCATTAATAAAGAAGGAAGAACTTAGAAATTCACTAATAGGATACGGTGGCTCTAACCATGCTCCCTGGCCCAGAATAGCAGTTATCTGGGATCCCACTTACTCCTTTCACTCCTTCCATTTTTCTTACTCTGCATGTTCACTGTTTTTGTTGCTGCCAGAGCAGGTGCTTATACTGTCTGCCCTGCTCCTGCCACTCTGCGAGGGTGACAGGTACTGCCTTCTCCCCAGTCCAAAGTACATAGTGATGCTGTCTCTCGCACGCATTTTGGCTGGAGGGATATCATGTACTTTATCACTTTCTCATTTTGTCTGTTCCCAGTGGCAACAAAGATATCAGCTAGCCCCAGAGAGGAGCGTTTAGGGTAAAAAAATCAATCACTGACCATGTGCTGATTATTAACTACTACCTGTTGAGGCAGAGGTGACTCTCCCTAATGTTAACATAGACATTATCTGAGAAGTGTGTGTGTTGGGTGGAGAGAGCCCCCTGCTACTTCTTTTGTAGCTAAATCGAGGCATTAATAGTCTATTCTGTGTTTTATTGGTTTTTTTTTTTTCCCCCCCCGTCAGGAAACAAACAGTCTTGTCCATTGTGCCCCAAGGAGAAATTCAGAGCTTGTAATAGCCATAAGCTTCGTCGTCACCTTCAAAATTTACACTGGAAAGTCTCAG